TAACTAAAGCAAACTCTGGAGAGAGTTTTATTCACGAAGAAGACTTTTTATTCTATTAATGCAACAAAAAAATCACACCTATGTTGCGTGCCGCGTCCTTGAAGGGAAACAAACAGAAAAGTGATGCTGCCCGCGCTCCGGCTGCGTAAACTTGTTTGGCCTAGACAGTATTTATTTTATGATTGCTAGAATTCGGTTCTAAAAACTACTGACAGTTCTTAAAGTAATTCATTCGCGTCCGGCTAAAACTAGACAAATGTGTTTTGTTTGTAACAAGATTAAAAAAAACCGAAGGCCATTTCTGCTGTAAAGAGTAGTAACCAAACTTGTTTCTTGCGATCGAAAGCAGTCTAAACGCATTTAAGTAAAATAAAGTGCTGAGACAGTTAAATAAAGTTCATTCCTTTGTTCAACAAAAGAAGCGTTTTGTTTAACAATAGTTAATATGAGTTATTTACCCCTAATTATTTATGGATCGGTTAGGATAACTGAATACTTTTGCTAAGATTGATTCCGAAGAGAGATTTAGACGCGCAAGTACTGTACTGGAGAGAGGTGGTCTGAATGAGACACAACGTATTTTGAACTCTCGATGTGTTCATTGCCACATTTAATGTGAGAAGTTGAGCCGGAACAATAGACCATTTTTTGATACGTGAAATATTGGAATCGTGGGACTACCGGCGAAACCGGATTTCATTCAATTTTGTTTGCTCGTTTTAAGACCCGGCTGGCACCGTGGTAGAAATCACTGGCATCCCAAATCTTTGGCACCTGGAAGAAGCAGTACAAAGAATGTGATTATTACTACATTATTTAGAGAACAGTACCCCGAGGGAAAAAAATCTATCATTTGGGGCAAAACAAGTATAACGATTGTGAAAATAATCGGTCAATAGCCTAACGGAAACAGTGATGACTGATTTTTTTTTTCTTTTAGAGTGTCCGACAGGAACTTGCGAAAATACCGGTGTACACTCCAGAGGGTAATGACATCAGGGAACTCGTCTTTTTGTCTTATAACTATCCATTTCATTCTTTCATAAATTTACCAGGACAGTTAAATCGAGCAACCGTGTTTAACGCGTGATTGAGTGTCATCACTGAGTGTTATCACCGTTTAATACAGATTAACAACAAAAGATAAGAAAACAACATTTTATACCATAATTTATCATTTATTTTAATGTGTAGCTTATTTTCAAAAATCGCTCAAAAATGTATCGAATAAAATCAACAAAATGATGATGCAGCCTAAAAACATAACAATAAATTAGAATTCTAACAGTTAGACCTCTTAGTAATCAATAATGGTAATTGACCTGAGTGGAGTGCAATTTGGGCTGAAATCATTTGCGTGATTTCAAAATCGAATGAGCGTGCAGCGCGAGTTCGATTTGAAATCACAAGTATGATTTCAGACCAAAATTGCACGACACGAGGTTCAATTACCACTTTATTACATTTATTTTGAAATTGCTCAAATAAAGGACTTGGTTAGTTCAAATATTTTATTGATGCAGTACTGAGCCGGTCTGAAAATTCATCCATCTTTTGGGGGGAAAAAGTAAGAGTTTTGGAAACAAAAGTTGCAAAATTTTTTCTGCAATTTGATCGGTTATTTTAAACAAGCTTTGAAATCTGCTTGGTTGTTTTGTATTTAGTGTAGCCTCCTCATTGGCTGCGAAAAAGATGCGATTTAAAGCAAACAATGGTGCGATTCGTGAATAAATCGCATCAGTTAGAGCCAATCAGGGACCACCAGTGATTTCAAAATGGGTGTAGTAAACCACCAAATCACTTGCGTAGTTTTCTTGTGTGATATTTGTCAGATACAAACAATCCTGAGAAGAAAGATAATCTACGATGAGTTGAAAACATTTGAACTCTAAATACTAACATTGATTTTGGGAGACAAACATGGAATAAATTTTATTCCAGAGAGAATTCGTCGTTTTAGTCGAGTGGTTCAGCCCTAAGTGACCGTTCCATACAACCCGAACAGGCCGATGGGACTCAGTCAAGGATGACCACAACCGCTAAATAGAGACCACCGCTGAAAGGCGTTGAAAGTGAGAATATTTAAGAAGAAAAAAATCGGGAATTTTACAACCGACCGCTTAATGCAGGTTCGACTATTAATTCGGAATTAGCCAATCAGCCCACGCGAAGAGCTTTATTCACCTGTATGGCATATACTAAAAACCGCCGTAAGGTGGGTAGATGGAGTAGAGTTATGGAGCACGAAGAGAAAGTCCAAGCAGACGAAAGGAGCCTAAGTCCAGCAATTACGCAGGGAAATTCATATCTTTACCTTCTGAAATCGTAGCTCTAAGATTCTTGAGAATCCGTCCTGTGATGCTACCCATGAAACCACGTAGCCATTTACACTCCCGACCGGGAGGATAAACGGAACCTCGACCCACCCCTCCCCCCTTCCCATGGCTCTTTCTTGAAAATGACCGTAATATATATGCTATCGTCAGTAGAGACGCCCCCCCTAAAACATTTACGTTGTCGCAGTTTTTTAGATCTGGGGTGAAGTCAAAATATCAGGGCTTACTGACTTTTCGGATCCGGTTCACGTTCTTAAAAGAGGGAAGGAGATTTATCGTTGCTCGTCTTGACGTCGGCGAATATCTCGCATGATATATATTTTTTTTGCGTTAACTTAATTAAGCATTTTAGATCGAACATAACAGGAATGCCCAGTGGATCTGTGACAACGCTCTTCCCATGCCCGTCTCTCCTAGTTTGATCCTTTCTCCTCAAAAAACCAGCACTCTAAATTCAAATTGCGAATGCCACCTTATAAAACTGTTTTTATTTCACATCTTGCATGTCACCTAGTCGAGGGTCTCAATGGGGTTAACCGTTAGCAGTAGATCGGTCAAAAAACTAGCTGTTAGACGTAAAAAATTGACAAATTTTAACCGTTTAATTATAGAAAAAAAAAAACTTTAAAAATCTTTCCTTCCCTCATTGTGTTACTTTGTGTTATTCTGGGTTAACCGCAGCAGAAAAATGGCCACAATTTAGCCGTTAAAAAATCCCCTCGGTCGGCCCTCCTCAGTTTCAAGAAAGTTCCGGTTTTTTGAAACAGGCTGTTTTAGTTAAGTTTGCAATCGTGGAAAAAAAAATTCATCAATATTATCTCATGATGAGGACGCTTTCGATAAAGAGAATAAAGCACCATCTCCCAAAGTGGAAGGTAATTTCTTTTTCCTGGCCTCCAACGATATATGACAAAACATCATAACTGTCGCATTACATGCAAGAGGAGCGCGTTGCGTGACGGCTACCAACGAAACTAGAGGATATAAAATCTGAAAATATCGAGGTTTATATCTCATTTAATAACTCTATCCAGGGAAATGGGAAAAGTTGAGCGAATTAGACATAGGTGCGGACACTACTTCAAACGACATGATGTGACAAAACATTCTCTGTCGCGCAACGAACTAAAGGAGTGCGTAGCGTGACATCCTAAGAAACGGCTCCCAATGATCGTTATTAGCAGTTATAGAGTCAGAAAATATCGAAGTTTATCTCTCATTCAATTAACCTATTCAAAGAAATGGACAAAAGTTATTAAGCGAGTTCTACTTCAAACGAAGTAGGCTTATGCAGGTTGATGCAGAAATGTCCTTCCCTTTGTTATTGATTTCCTCTTCCATTCTGACAAAATGCCAAGCGACTTGTTTCATTGTTTGACGTTCAAATGTTAGTTTATTGTACTTAGATAACATGTAAACAATCTAAATGGAGTGACTAAATAAAATCATCTAACTCCAACATCCAGCTCGTTCTGAGCTTCTTCTAATGCTTTGTAGGCCAGTAACTAAAATTAAAATAAAACTTCTCGTTTCGCCTATAGACGATTAGTTTAAACAATATACTTAAAATGAATCGTTCTGCTTGTAAAAAATAACACAATTTATTGCATTCAAAATTAAAGGAGAAATCTCAGAAAATTAATTCATACCACGACTAAATCCTTGCCATTACGGCCAAACTCTGTCATTTTAAGTCCAGATAAACCTAATTATGATCGGCTGAAACTAACTTTATGTACCAATGACTCGGTACAAATCCTCTGAAAGTTAATCATAATCTCCATCTGACATAAACTAAAATAATCTAGCAATCGGAAAACTGATTACTGTCCAATTTCCATGGAAATTCTCCGCACACGCACATGGCTGTAACAGCTTTACATCACTCATGAGAAAAAAACCGATTGAGAAAAATCTGCGAAAAAAACTGTGAAAAACGATTTCAAGACGTTTCAACTTCGACGTAAACGTAACGCCTTAATCCTCTTAGTAGGTAATACTTAGATTAAAAATAACTTTTTACATAGCAAGTCATGATAATTTCAAGGCATCATATGAAAACAAAACAGTAGTTTAAGCAGGATATCAAAGATGAAGCTCGTAAGAGCAGTTCAGACAAGCAAAAAGTCAGCTTTTGAATCAAAGGAAATCTGTCCTCTTGTTAAACTTGACTTTGGCCTTCTTTTGGTTCTTCCTGCTTTGAAAAGAAGACTCTTGAAAAAGATTTCATCGGTGGCTTAATGGTTTCTGGTCCAAACATCAACGTTTACAGGTACCTTAAAACTCCCTGGGATTCCAATGCTCACTGCCTTAACTAAAAAAATAAAAGAATCTAAGTTTAGGGAGGACAATTGAGTTTCCATGAAATATTTCGATACAGCACAAGAATCTAAGAAATTTCACAGCACTTGAAACGATACATTACACAACAGGATCAGTGTTTTAAAACAAATTTGCTGTTTTACTCCTGTCATGTTTCCAAAAAAGAATGTTATTATCGTAAACGTGTCCACTTGGTTGTACTGCATCTCAATTTGCCGGAGCAAAAAATTAATTCGTAACCCAACTGAAAAGAAAATAATACGCAAGTATCAGGGCGCACACGTAAGTAATAACTTTTTACTGAATAGAATGTATAAACAGAGTATTTACTTACTGCAGCCTCTAAATATCCTTGAAATCCAGGTTGACGTCGTCACCAATGAGTACAAATGGTGCCCAGTAAATCTCCTTCTTGAACTTATCAATTTCTCTCATACACTTCATGGCCTGATTGAGAGCTTCACTTGCCTTCTTGCCTTCGGCGAGTGCGTCGTAGAAGAAAGTCATGAACTCCAGGGTTCCCTCGTCGCCAATCGCCCACAAGGTTACCACAACAGATCTAGCACCGGCACCCAAAAGTGCACGCGCCATACCGACCACACCCTCGGCCATGACCTCCCCACGAGCAGTGTGACAGCAGCTAAGTACAACCAGACGTGCTCTTAACCCAGCTTCTATGACGTCTTTCATCGTCAGTAGGTAGTCTTTCTCTTGCGGCTGAGGGTTTTCTCTTGTGGTGTTTGGTGCCAGGATAACTTCTCCAGTTTCCAGTTTACCGTGCGCTGCAATGTGAATTAACGCCACTGATGATATTCGTTTTAACACTTCATCTTTTGTTGCCATTTGTCCAGTGAGGGGGGAAACATGGAGGATACGTCCGATCATCTCCACTTCTTTCCTTGCTCCTGGAAGTTGCACCAAAAGACTTCCTTGGTAGATGATATGTTTAAAACATGGATCGCCGACAAGCAATGCACCAGTCTTCATGTGAAAGTCAGCTGGACAATCATGAATTAGTTTCAACGTCGTCAGAGAGGGAAGGACACGAATTCTGAAAGAATCACTCAGATATGATGAGTCGGAGTCCTGCAGCGCTGCATAAGGCACAAGGCAAAATGGCCCCTCAGGAACAAATGTGATCTCGTCGTTGCCTTCGATCAGGTCAGCGATAGGAGCAACGATGATGTCATGCAGCTTCTTTAAAGCACTTGATTTGGAGTGCCTCACATCAACTGGGATCACTTGATTGGCCACTTTCTCTTCCGTCGGCGAATCAAGCGGAGGATTTTCGATTGGAATAGTATCTCTTGCACCGATCTCCTTCAGAGCAGTTTTGTTCAGTAGCTTGGTGAAACATTCCAACTCTTTCTCATACTTATAATTGTTGACGTGTACCCTTCTCATCTGGATGTTATCTTCACTGAGGCAAACCCAGAAGTAAACGCATGGTCCATTAATAGCTATGATAACTGTGCTCAATGGAACCCAACTCAGAGATGTGCTGTGCGTTGAAGAATCTCCAGGCTGATATTTTGTGGCCATGAGATCTCTGAGAGCTTGAGCACGTCCTTTCTCTGCGGCAAGAAGAGCCTTTACAACTTGACCTTGAATGAGATTTATACGCCACAAACCTTTGTATGCACTTTGGTGCTGATTACGATAAGAAATCTTCCACTGATCGTTGAGTTGAAGACTGGCCCTGATATCATCATACAACTGTACACTCGAGTGATAACAGTCAAAGGCCATCATAAGATTTCCTTGGCACTCAAAACTTTTTCCAAGCAAACAGAGTGAGTACGCCTCTCCAGTCTTATCTCCCACTTCTTTAGCAATTTCTAGATGACGTTGATGGTACTGGATGGCTGTTTTAAACTGTCCTAGACCTTGATAAGCGTTGCCGAGATTGCCATAACTAGTTCCCTCTCCGGCCTTGTCTCCCACTTCTTTAGCAATTTCTAGATGACGTTGATGGTACTCGATGGCTGTTTTAAACTGTCCTAGACCTTGATAAGCGTTGCCGAATCTGCCATAACTAATTCCCTCTCCGGCCTTGTCTCCCACTTCTTTAGCAATTTCTAGACCACGTTGAAGGTACTGGATGGCTGTTTTAAACTGTCCTAGACTGCGATAAGCGTTGCCGAGACTGCCATAACTAATTCCCTCTCCGGCCTTGTCTCCCACTTCTTTAGCAATTTCTAGATCACGTTGATGGTACTGGATGGCTGTTTTAAACTGTCCTAGACCTTGATAAGCGTTGCCGAGATTGCCATAACTAATTCCCTCTCCGGCCTTGTCTCCCACTTCTTTAGCAATTTCTAGATCACGTTGATGGTACTGGATGGCTGTTTTAAACTGTCCTAGACCTTGATAAGCGTTGCCGAGATTGAGACTAGATCACGTTGATGGTACTGGATGGCTGTTTTAAACTTTTCCCTCTCCGGCCTTGTCTCCCACTTCTTTAGCAATTTCTAGATCACGTTGATGGTACTGGATGGCTGTTTTAAACTGTCCTAGACTGCGATAAGCGTTGCCGAGATTGCCATAACTAATTCCCTCTCCGGCCTTGTCTCCCACTTCTTTAGCAATTTCTAGATCACGTTGATGGTACTGGATGGCTGTTTTAAACTGTCCTAGACCTTGATAAGCGTTGCCGAGATTGCCACGTTAACTGTTTTAAATTCCCCTCTCCGGTCTTGTCTCCCACTTCTTTAGCAATTTGTAGATGACGTTGATGGTACTGGATGGCTGTTTTAAACTGTCCTAGACCTTGATAAGCGTTGCCGAGATTGCCATAACTTCTTCCCTCTCCGGCCTTGTCTCCCACTTCTTTAGCAATTTCTAGATGACGTTGATGGTACTGGATGGCTGTTTTAAACTGTCCTAGACCTTGATAAGCGTTGCCGAGACCGTTATAAATTTTTCCCTCTCCGGCCTTGTCTCCCACTTCTTTAGCAATTTCTAGATCACGTTGATGGTACTGGATGGCTGTTTTAAACTGTCCTAGACTGCGATAAGCGTTGCCGAGATTGCCATAACTAATTCCCTCTCCGGCCTTGTCTCCCACTTCTTTAGCAATTTGTAGATGACGTTGATGGTACTGGATGGCTGTTTTAAACTGTCCTAGACCTTGATAAGCGTTGCCGAGACCGTTATAACTTTTTCCCTCTCCGGCCTTGTCTCCCACTTCTTTAGCAATTTCTAGATGACGTTGATGGTACTGGATGGCTGTTTTAAACTGTCCTAGACCTTGATAAGCGTTGCCGAGATTGCCATAACTAATTCCCTCTCCGGCCTTGTCTCCCACTTCTTTAGCAATTTGTAGATGACGTTGATGGTACTGGATGGCTGTTTTAAACTGTCCTAGACCTTGATAAGCGTTGCCGAGATGGCAATAACTTCTTCCCTCTCCGGCCTTGTCTCCCACTTCTTCAGCAATTTCTAGATCCTGTTGATGATACTTGATTGCTTTGTGAAACTGCCCAACATGATCATAAGCACATCCGAGACTTGCATAAGTGTGTGCTTTGACTTTTAGTTCGGCATTCGATTTCCTCAGTAATTGAAGCAGACGTTCGTTATTGTTTTCAATCTTAAAACGTGTCAAGGGTAGATAAATCACGAGCTGTTTTGCGAAAATGCAATGGAAATGTCTGTTTCAAAAATAGTGAGATTATTGTATAAAACCCAAAAATTGGAATGATAATTCGAACGTGGGTTTCTTAAAGAGATTTGATTTCAAGTTACTCGAGAGTGTTAACCAGCTCTTAAGCGCATTTATTACTTTAGGTTCAGTCGTCATGGTGATGCTCGTTTGAAGTTAAAAATGAGGGGCATTCAGCAGAAACTCTTGGAATTAGTTAATATGGCCTCTTCTTTTAAGTTAAGTTTCGTGGAATAAAAGAAAGAACTCCTTAATAATATTTTAGCTTCTTTAAACTGTTCAGCGCAGTATAAGAGAACATCGCTTGCATTATGTGTAGAAGAATCTGCCTGGAACGTATTGATTTTCCTTGAAATATTATTCGCATTGCATCTCGTATCACGTTGGAAACATTCGTTAAAGGATACTGTCAATCCCATATGCAACCAGCTCCTTGCTTCTTTATCCCAGCAAAGTTCGACACAAGCTCTGGCTCCTGAAAAGGAGAGAATAATTAGTGGTGCGAGGTAATTTATCACTGTTAAGGTATGAACGTATTGATAAAATGGACTTAATTTGTCATTTAGCTGGGAGCAAAAATTGTGATAATGAAGGAAATTTGAATTTGTAGAAGAACTGAAAATGAACAATAAGGAGCTAATGCAAAGCGGCTACCAATGAAACTTCAATTGATGATGATAACGATGAATTTATCTCGCGCATTCTTCATTTTAATGCGCTCTTATGCGCTTTTCAGCACTTTTCGGGGAAGTTTTCGGGCAGACTGCATTGAGCAGTTTAACTTTTGAAATAAGAGTTACAGAGAAGATGCAGGAAACGGGGGTTTCAGTTTTCCGTCCATATCCGGGACAAGATTATCAAACAATTTGCAGATGTCATAGCCAGGTGGCAGCACATTCTCCTCAGATGTTTTTAGACTGAGTGTTGTTCTGGTCTAGGGCTTGAGCCCTCGACCTCCGGCGCTCTACAACGTTAACTAAACAGGCAGTGGTATTTGAGAGGTTATTGACATTTGCTTATGCTTTTTACCCACATAACAGACATTGACTCACCAGATACAATTGACATTTGGGGTGCAATCCTCTTTTGACGAAATCAGAGAAAAGAACTTTGATGGCTTATATCTGAAAAACTCACCTTTCTCAATAGCTTGGATTAAAGTGGGTTCCAATTGAACAGCAACTGTTGCATCATCGACACATTCCACGTAGTTTGCTTTGAAATTTAAGAAATGAGGTTTAAAAAAGTGGTCATCACATGCAATTGCGGTAAAGACTCATGAAAAAATTACAATTGCATAAATTCCTGTTCATTTACGAGGATCATTTCTTTGCTTAATCTTCATCTGCTAAAGGGTGATATCTCTTTCTTTGCTTCTTTTCTGCAGTTGCTCAATTTTTTTCCTTTTCTTGGGGCAGATTGTGTATTCCGTTATCTTGTAACGCTGCATGAGAGATTTATATATTTAGAAATGAAATCGTTACCTAAACGGAAATGAGCTGTTGCCCTGTTGCTGTAAAGCTTGGCGTTCAGACTTTTATCTCTGCAGTTCACTTGAAGTCCTTCCGTGTAGGAGATTATCGCGTTATTAGCTTCTCCTTGTCGATATTCTTTGTTACCTTCCTCGAGACATACTTTCGCTATCCCTGAAAACATACCGTTTTAATGATTTAGTGATGATTTAGTAATGAGTAATACGACCCTCGACCAATGATGCCAACTTTATACTTCCAAACGAAGTGTTAGGTTAAAGGAGCTTAGAGCTATGAAAAACGAATATCAGAAAAGTCTGGGCTGTAGCTTGGCTATTATCAGTTCAAGTTTCTCGGTTTACATTTGGGTCTAGAGACTTTCACAAACCTCCTTTTATACCTGGCTTACGTTTTCCAAAATATCACAAGTTTCACTGGGTGATCCTATTTGAACTTAGCTTTGTTTGCAATTGCCCTTCAAGAGAGTTTATCTGTGCATTTTGTTTGCTTTAAAATATGCAAACTATCAGGAGTTTTAGCTGTAGTTTGGCTATAACCAGATCAAATCTGTTCGGTTTACATTTAGGTCGAGAGGCTCTCCAAAAACCCTTTTACACCTGCGTTACGCATGTTTTCTCTTTTTTGTGTGTGACTTGGTTTTTCTCATACATGTAGTTGTTTATTGAGAACATACTCGAAGAGGCTAAATGAAGAAAATCTGATTGAACCATTTTCCCGCGAAGTGCCATTTCGTTTGTTGTAAAAGTCAGCGGTTCTATTATATTATTGGCTGGTGGTTTACAGCGTGGGCCTGGTGTTGTCATAACTGTCCGAAAAAGCGTGAATTATCTAAAGGACCAAAACAGGCCATACGACGAAGACAAAATGCTTCCTCTTCTCTGTAGAATTCTAATATTGCGTAAAATTTCCTCCGAATATGTATTGAACAATGAGGGACAAAAATTTTCCTCGTGTTTGCCCCCAAAAGTTTCCCGTTAACAAATTTTCAATACTCGACTTTGACAGGTCTACTGGTACAAACAGCGCTCTCTCTCGAGGAAAATGACTTTCACACTAAAAATGACCACATTTTGGGTATTTTCAAATGCAAAAGGATGATACCTCTTCTTCGGAATTATCATTCATTTTAGGTGCAAATTGTAGATACATCTTTATTCTTAAAAACACCGTGCGTCGAATTAGAAGTTAGCACTTCTTAAACTCAGAAAACTGAGTTTTACTAAGGCTAGAGGGCCAATTTTGTCACATTCTTTTCTAATTTAGGGCTCTTCAAAGCGAAGTCGCGTTCAAATTTATCGGTTATGAATAATTAATGATGTCTACGCATTCTGCTCGATCGGATCGAGCAATAAATTGTTTTTCCTTTGTTTTATATTTTACTGGTAACAAAGTTTGAAATTTGAAGAAACAATCTTTTGCTGTTTCAAAAACTTATCCACAGAACATAAGCAAATTATGATGTAAATGTGACAAAAATTTCACTGGGAAGTCTTTCAAAAAAACTTGATTCACCAGGTGTTCTTACCTCTTAAAGGGTCATCGTATACATCCAATTCAGCGTCACTTAACGTAACTTGACTTTTCTCTGTTGCTGAAACTGCAGAGAACTTTGTTAGTGATCACATCTATGTGCAACTACAACTAGCGTTCTAATACTGGCGTATTTACTGGATTCCTTAAAACCTTCGAGTCGAGATGATCCAAAAAACTGTGCACCAGAATTAAGACAAACTTAATTAACAAACAGTACAAAATCACCATGACGAAGTCTTTCCCCTGTTGCTTTTTCTCACCTGTGGCTGGAAACTCATTTTTCACCTCCAGTTCTTCTCCCGTTGTTGGGAGGTTGCTTTCTGCCATAGCTAGAAATAAAATTGGATCGATTGTTCTGCGTTACATTGTTAAAAATAAAAAAGAGGAGACTCAGATGAAAGTAACTTAAAGAAAACATTGTATACTTAATCATTGAGGAAGAATGAGAATCTCAAAGTTTCCTCCGTCACGCTATTGTGATTGCGTGACAGCTCCGGTCAAGTTCTATGGGTTGCGTCATGTTTATCTTTTCATTTATTTGTTTGTTTGTTTTCGTAGTCTCATCTGATAAAACGTCGTTCAAGGCTTTCCCTTAGTTGCATGCGGTAGGCACGGATAAGCATGGATCAAAAATAATGCAATAAAAGACTCTTTCTCTCATTCCTTCATTATATCGCGTGTGAGACTGCGAGAATTCGCGAAACTTATTCCAAACCGAAACACCATAAACTCCTTCATTAAATTTTTTTGAAGGAGCCAAGAAATTTTGAATAACCGAAGTAGCTGGTCCCTTTTGTTGGGGAAGGACCCGATTCGTTCATTTCGAATTAAAAAAAGGCACTGAATACGAGGTTATTTTGAGGGACTGGAAAAGATGGCGCTGGAAAGTGTCTTATTCATCAAAATTCTTGTTATCAAGAAACATCATCTACAACAAATTGAAAGCCAAGCGCAACACATAGACTCCTGTATAGCGTGACCTTGTAGGCCATCGAATGAATTCACTGCCAGGCCATATGAGCATTTGGGGGAGGAAGTAGACTGAAACCGAAATAAAACTTAAAGCATCTCGATATCGGAAAGCAAAAGAGAACTTTAAAATTAATTGTGAACGAATTGCTGATCAATAAAGGATCTTTTGTAGGATAGTAGTAAGTAGGAAATTTGGGAAATTTCCGTGAAGCTGCTGAGGTGGTCTTGCCCTACAGCACAGGATTCTGCTCCAATATCAGCATTTACTGAGCCCACAGTTTTATCTTCCAAGCGCACGATGTAAACGCGCAAACATTGTGCCCATTTAGTCAGTCATCGCGCGAAAAGGTATATCTACTAAAACCGAACTCTGACAGATAACCAGTTAGAAATGATACTACTAACCACCTTGTAAATACGTAGTTCGACCATTTGAATACAAAAATTTATTCACCGTCGACGATTACCGTGTCAAGTTTCGCGAGGAGGTGGATTGATGTTCCAAGGCGTTTAAAAAAACCAGAATAATTAATCGTGTCGTTGACGAGGTTTCGTTTTCATACGTGATCAAGAAGTCGTAGTCATCGTGATTCTGGTGTTGAAAATTTCACTTTTGTTGACACGTTTCCCCAATTTCTCTGGTATTTATATGTTTAAGTAGGACCCGCGAGCGAGCAGGAAACCTGCGCTCTGATCGGCTACTCAAGAGTGCAAAAAAGAAGGAAAAAAGAAATGCTTGTAGCATGTTGAATACCTTGAATAATAATATTGTAACCAAAAAGTATATTTTTGTCACATGAATAAAAGCTTTTCCAGTATTTTTGTCTGAAATAGAAGTCACAGATTCGTCCTAAA